AAAACCATCATTACCGCCTCCAAAATCATTCAATAAAAATTTATACCTAATGATTTCTGCGACGGTAAAGCTTTTCCTTTTACTTATTGGTCTACAAGCCTCAATTCTTACTACATCACCTAAGGAGCAAATTTCCTTTTCATCATGCGCAAGGAATTTTTTGTGTCTCGTTATAATCTACACATTTTTAAATTATCCTTCGTGAATAAATTACTATATGACGTGTATGACTCAATATGATCACGTAAAATACCATTCAATTACCTTACGAACTATGGGATGAACGAATTGCCTCGCGACTCGTACTTTAACGGTTTTTTGCATTGCAGTACCCACTACAATTCCAAAGAAATTTTGTCGCCCCATTATGAATTGGTATCATAGGAAACTAAACTACGCGAATATGTAAGTTGTTCTGAAAAAAAAAAAAATCTGCAATTTGATTGGCTGATCTACTTGTATATACACAAATTGGAAAATCGTTAGCTCTTAGATAAATCATGAAACTTACACCTGAGCTTATTGAACGTTCACTTAGCTATATTAATTCCGTAAAGGATCGTGAACTAGATTTACGGGGTATCCTTTAGAAGGGCTTTATGTAGTTGTTGACATTTTGGAGTTTCGTTTTAAAGTGTAGTATAGATGGACGCAGGAGAAATCGGAGTTTCTTGGTAAAAACTATAAAATGAAAGTATATTCTGCGATGGCAAAATTATTATTATTTTTGCAAAAATCAACTCTATGTTTCTATATTTTCTCTTCGCACACATTCCTATTATCCCTGACTCGAAGTTTTATTTTTCCCCCCACCTATTTTCTTTTCACGCTATACCACATAATAGGCAATAAAATTCCTGCCATAGAAAATCTTGGTGTCACAAAGGTGAGTAAATAACTTTGTTCGTATTAGCCAAGTTATTTTATTTTAAAAATTTAATTTAAATGAAACCTGTTGTATAGGATCTAAATGATACAATTGATCTAACGGATAATGACATTCGTGTATTGGGAAATTTTCCACTTTTGCGTCGTGTCAGAAGTTTGTTACTCGCCAATAATCGAATCACCCGCATTGATCCAAAAATAGCAGAATTCATTCCAAATTTAACTACCTTAGTTCTTACTAATAATAACATAATTGAAATATCGGATCTAGAACCTTTGAGCGAGTGTAAAAGGTTGCAATATTTGAGTTTGTTGGATAACCCTGTTACACGGAAACAGTGGTATAGAAGTTGGATCATTTGGAAGATACCGAGTGTGAGAGTATTAGATTTCAAAAGAGTGCGAGATGTGGTATGCAATTAAAGAATGTATTCCATTTTTGAATAAATTGGCTAATAATGTACGTTTATTCTACAAGGAACGTAAAGAAGCCAAACAATTATTTGTAACAGCGAAAGGTGAACCCACTTCACTTGCTACATCTATTTCAGAGACTGTATCCAAAACATTTGAACCTGGCGAAGGAATGGCTGCGGCTGGTGGTGCAAATCTGCCAAAATCTAATTTACCCACACTTGGAATGTCAATAGAAGAACAGGCAAAGATTAGAGTTAGTATCATTATCCACTGCCATGTATTGAAGTAAAAAAATATCAAATCAAAGATAAACCGTCGAATTAATTTTTTATTCCTATTTAGGAAGCAATTCGAAATGCTAAAACCCTTGAGGAAGTTACGCGTCTCGAAACATTATTGCAATCTGGGCATATTCCTGTTAGTGAGCCTGGCCAATAATGAAAAAGAAAAAGAAAAATGGCTTAAGCTAATTTTCGGCTTAGCTGTCGATTTTCTTCAAAATCGGCTGATCGATTTCTTATAACAGTAATAATTCGTAGGCTTTAGTAAATTTAATTAGATATAATC